TTTCATAGAATAGTGTTCTAATAGCCAGAAAAAAACCCAAACAAACAAACATGTAAGGCAGATCAGTAATCAAACTTCAAGCTACTCCTTCAAAATGCTAAGTTAAGAATGTCTGAAAATATATAGTATTGCCTTCAAACTGAATTTGAATAAATCATGTCTGGCCTCCGTGGCAAGCAGTACAAACTCTCCTTGAGGAGGGTCCTTCACTGCCATGCACTGGGGAGGTTCACAGACATGAAGAGAAACCAGACTAATAAAGTAAAAAATGTTTATTTCCCTTTAAACAAAGAAGTGCACAGCTGTAGTGATGGCCCATATAGCTGGCTTGGTTTAATATAGATAACCTTGGTTGGCCTATTCTTAACAATTAATTTGAAATGTCAGTTGGGGGCATTTCAATGGATAGTGAGCATTTGAAAAGAGAGGTTTCATTATGCATACCGAGGGGCTATCCCACCCTTGCTTTCCATAGGGCAGGCTCTCTGGAGCTGGCAAGGACTGGTGTGAAACACGGACCTCCTAACTTGCCAGCCTGTGTCCCTTCTCCCAGGAAAGCATTGCCAGAATGAGGACACACAGGAATCTGTACAACTTTCCCAGGCCAAAACTGAGTCAGTCCTTTTACTCTGACTGAATTACTAGGAAGACCTGCTCAAAAACAATTAGCAGTTTATGTCACATTACATTTTGTTATTATTGTTGAAGATAGTATTCTGGGGTTTATGTAGTCTGAGTGTTTTGGTTTGATTTGCCCTAATGGGTAGTGACGGTAATTAATGCTGCAGCTTTCTGTCTGTAAGCTATTAACCAATAACCAAGGAGAGCCTTAACAGAGAAATAACAAGTACACATGATGAGAGGCTGCTGGATTAGCCAAGGAGATTGACATGCCCATTACATTACTGTGCAATTGCAGGGTCCTGCGTAGGCAGATGGACCTTTGGGATTCCTTTTACAGGACTGGAACATTAACAGTATTTATAATACACCAGTATATCCTGCAAAACATCATAGACACCAGTTGTAGCTCCTTCTTGTAAAAGGATAATAAATTATTTTATTTCTTCTCTGTGAAATGGTTCCAGAATCCTTTTGAAGTTCTTTCATTACATATCGCAGCTGAAGTGTTCACAAGAGTTACATGACTCTTAGCAGGATTTGCAAGAGAGGAGAATATGACCGATTGTGTTCCTATTGACCCCTTTTGCCCCTGAGCAGTTAGCCAGAATTTAAGGCCATTGCAGGTTACTTTCACGAGGAAGGAAAATTAATAATAAAGGAGATTTTTTCCTGGGTGCTCTCCTGCAGACCTGTAAAGAACTTTCCTCAGCTTTTGTGTTCATCAGTGCAGCAAGAACAAGTAGCAGGAGGAAGCCTCCTTGCTCGCAGATCGAGTTTCTTGCCAGGCTGCATTCTGCCAAAAAAGGGTTCGTTCTTGGCCGTCCTCCCACAGCCGCAAAGGAGCTGCTTTCTTAGGTGCTTACCTGGCTTTCCTGGTAATTGTATCACACTTTTACTTGCTACATAGCCACAAACCTGTGCAGTGCAATGCCGTCTGTCTCCAGGCTGTCGAAAAGAGCAGCATTTGTTTATTCCTTTGTTTAGGAGACAGGCATACCAGCCTGAGCAACAGTTGCTGGGCTCCACTAGAACAGACCAGCTATTTCCTCTCAGCCTGCCCTGCTCATGAATTAAACCCCACTAGCTTCAGTCACCTGCACACCCATAGACTAAAAGCTCATGACATTTTACTCTCCTTCATAGAGTGAAGGTGCTGTGATAAACTTTTTGAGTCCTGGATTTGAGTGTGCTGCATATTGTACAAGACACAACAAGGATAGAGCCTCTGCCTCAAAGAACTTGCAACAAAACATATTTGACTTCAGCAGAAGACAAAACCCCTAGGCATGTTTTTTATCTCAAAGTTAACAACTAGTTATCGAGCATGGAAGTGGTGGAAGATTTGTTTCTGTATCGTCTTGCAGTTTTATTTTACCTGTTTCTGTGAGAATAAACACCTCATAAAACTTCCTAGTTCTGCAATTTTCCCAGCTAAGACTAATGTGCACAGAGATGTTGGTTACATTTGTCATGCTTTATTTGTATTGTGCATGAATCCAGTTCTCATCAGCAACAGGTTCTTTTTTACCTGCTCTGACCTAAGAAAAACACTCTCTTTTTATTGTAGCAAAATAGTTCCGCTGCATCAGGTAGCCACAGATGAAGCGTGCTGCATTTGTTAGCTCACCCAAAGCAAAGCCTGATTTTTGCTGTAGTTTGATTAATATGAATTTAATGTAATTCATCTCAATGCACTGTTGTGCTTAAACTCTTTATGCTAACATTTTCAGATTCATTCTCAAATTAATGTGATATGGATCTAAGTACTAATCATACCCATCCTTCATGCTTTGCCAATGGTATTCTTACTTCTTTAAATTACCGCATAGGAAGTGATTAAATTCCTCAATGGAGTCATGAGCTGTCTGCATGGCCATTACCCTAAAAGAGAGGTATATGATTTCATTTTTAAAGCCACAGATGATAGTTCACATGGAGGGTACAGGAAAGAAAGATATGTTGAGGAAATGAAGTTTAGGTATGTAGTTCTCAGGCGGTGTGCTTTCTATGTGTGCATTGGTTTGAGCTACAGATAAAAGTTCCAGCAGAGACTGACTTAGTTCAAATGGAAAGTATGTTTAGTCAGTCTCTGCTACGAGGTTTGGTGAACAGTGCAAACAGCTGCAAAGAGAAGCAAGGATGCTCTGTAGTCATCTCCCTTTCAGTTCAGTGATATGAAATGGTGGAAGCATTAAGTTAAAATGCCAGGTTTGACAACATACTGTGGATTTTGTTGCAGAACTCACCGGCCGTGCTCTGCTCCCCTCCAGCTGCCGGGCTGCCGCATGAGACCATTCCCAGAGCCCCAGTGCCGGGATGGAAAGCTGGGGCAACTTTGGCACTGGCGGGAGCAGAACCAGCTTGTGTCCAGCCTGCAGGCACCCCAAGTCGCTCCCACTGGAGCCGTCGGGGAAATGATACCTGGAGCTCTCGGGTCAAGCCCCTGACCTGCAGCTCCTCTGAGGAGATCCCCACAGGGCAGTGTGCGGCTGGCCCAGCCCAAACCTGGGACACAGTGGATTTTGTCAAACCTGTCTGGAAAACTGCTGTAATGGCTCAGAAAGTTTGCTGACTTTTCAGAGGCCAGGATAGCTGGCTGATGTCAGGGATGGTGCCACCTGAATGGATATGCAGCCTTTGGGAAGCGCCTATCAGTCAAGGCAGCTCTTGCGGGGATGGATGATCAATAAGGGGAGAAGGGAGAAAGGCCAGCCACCAGCTGGGAGGCTGCATTGAGCATGGGCAAGGGAACAAGCCAAGAAACATATTGACCCAGACCTGTGAAAAACAGTCCAAGGATGATTTAAGAACCTTAATGAACACATTTGCCAACAGAAAAAGGAGAAAATACTTCTTCCTTCTTCTTCTTCTTTTTTTTTTTTTTTTAACCTTTTCAAGCCACTATACAACCCTTTTTGGGCATACTTTGTAAGAGCTGTTCAGATGGGTGTGGAAAAAAGATGTGACTGTCTGCTCTGCCCTGTGTGGTAAGCAGAAAAAATGAATCACCAAAAATAAAAATCAGTCCTTCAAGTTAATCCTGTCAGAATCCTATATCCTAACCTATCAATAATCCTATATTTTCATGATCATCAAGCTTCACTGCAAATATTGAAACAGAACTAAATGCACATGTTCGGGCAATTGCTTTGGGAATGTTTTTCAGCAACAGAAGGTGGTGCACTGAGTGGCTAACAAGCTTTTCTGGTCCAGAGGGGCAGTCCAGATGGATGCAGAACATGCAGTCCTCTATCTGCTGAACTGCCAAAGTGTCTCTTTAAAGAGACAAGTAAATCCTAAAGACATCTCTTACAGCCCAGGTAAGGGCTTGTTTTCCAGCTTGGAAAACATCTGCAGAAGCTAAGGGGAAGGAGTATTCTCCTGTGGCCACAGATGACAACTGTCACTTTGCCATCACTGCTGTGACTTCAAATTTCCAAGTAGCATGTGGAGCTCTCCCAAGAACAGTGGGTCTCTGCTGGCACAGCAATGTCCTCCCACTCCTCCTGGCCCTCCTGGGTGCTGGTGGCATGGAAGCCCATGTGGAGGACCAAATTGCCCTCTCCGAGGAGGCAGGTGGACATGCGATCCTCTCAGAAGGGAAGCAACGTTGTCCTGCACCAGCTGGCTCTCTGGTAGTGGACATGACACGCTTCCCTCCACCATCTGCCCACCGCTTCCCAGCATCTTGAAGCCACAGTCTCTTGTCAAGGTCTTTGTCTGCAACCTCATCTGAACTGTAGGCAGGTGCCACTTCCCACCTTCACCCCCTCTGTTTAGCTCCATGTGTCACTTTCTTATTTGGTCAAAATAAACTAAAGCTGTCTTCTCGCAAAGAGGCAAAGCCAGTATACCTGGTACTCTACCAAAAAAATCTCCACTGCCAACAGCACTTGCCCTTCCTGAAGGAGTGAGTTCAGAACTGGGTGCAGTTTAAAGAGTAAGTGACTCTGGCTCAGATGGGATTGCTGAACAAATCTTAGAAAAGTTTGATCAAAAGTAAAAAAAATGACCCAAACTGGAGCTCTAAGTTACTGTCTTCTTCATGGCCTTTCTTGTACATCTAGAACATGTTGCTTGTTACAGTTCTTAAAAACATCAGATTACTGACTTTTTAAGGGGATTTTTTGTTATATGGTACTTTTTGGAGTGCTGTTATCATACATGTTTTCTATTTTGTGGGGGCTGTTTGTTCCATTCATCTAATTTATAAAAGTTTAAAATCCCTGTCACTGATAGGTGCTGAACAAACCCAGCAAGAGCTGGGGATTTTTGTTCCACTTTGCTTTCTTATAGCCTATCAGTAACATTTGTCTTCACCTGCTTAAATGTAAAATGCTGGTCAAGTGTGTGACATTATCCCATTTGTCTAACAGGTAAGCTGCAAAGTGCTGCAATTCTTTCATCAGTACATGTTGGGCTGCAACTACTTCTGGATGCTCTGCGAAGGCATTTATCTTCACACGTTGATTGTGGTGGCAGTGTTTGCTGAAGAGCAGCGTTTGCACTGGTATTACCTCTTGGGCTGGGGTATGTATGTTATAATTTGTAGCAAAATGATCAATTCTTTCAGATGTTTGAATTCTTCTACCATTTATACACCTGAATTTTTTTATTTATACCTCTAGATCATAGCTTAAGATTGAGTTCTTGGGTCCTAAATTTGAGTGCATTTATTTAGATGGGCCTAGAGACTTACAAAAATCAACAAGAATCAGTATCCATTATTTGCTGCATCTTGGGATTTGCTGAAAGAAATGCTTAAGTTTTGTCAAGCAAGAAAGGAATAGATTTCTATCCAAACGCATCTCTTTTCTGAACAAAAGTTGTCTATTTTTGTCACTTTATATGCAAAAATATTAATCTGTGACAGTACTTGTAAAAGTATATTATTTCTGGAATGAAGAAGAAGAAAAATCAGTGTCTATGTATCCCAAAGTGAAAAAACACAGTATGTAGAAAGAGGAACCAGAATGTCTCTGGAAGTGAATCCAGTATCAGATATATTTTTGCAGATGTTGTTTTAAAGGAGAAGACTCAGTTTTACCTACCTACACAGGAGTAGATAATGGCTCTGGTGTCAGGGCTGAATTTGTCCAATAACAATGATCTCCAAAGCATTTCAGAGAAACCTACAGGTGTCAATAAGCAAATCTTAATGATATTCTATGACAGAATTTACAAGCCTATGCACTATGGATGCAAACTGTAAGTAGTCACATGCATATTGCCCAAGGAACCATGACTAGGTCTGGTCCTTCATCTCCAAATATGCAGATCTCTTCTTTTTTCACTAAGGGAGCCCTTCCTTTTAATTAGTAGCAACAGCAGATATTCATCCTTTGGACTGTCTGGTCCAAGAAAAGGCCATATAAATACAACCATTATATTACAGTGGAGTGCAGTCTCTTTCACATTTAAATCACTATTGTAAATCCAGTCCACATCAGTGTTGACAAAAAATCATTATCAAGAGCTTTTTCCCAGTTTGGGAAACATGAATCTCTGGCCTCATTCCAGTTTCTGGCAAACCAGTCCCCATATCTTGAAACCTCAGTGCAGCTAAGCAGCAAATGATGGACCTTTTCCCATCATCCCATTGCATTTAGGGATGCTCACTTGTATTCAGCTCTTGCAATCCCAGTCTGAAGCTGCTAGAATTTACTCTATATCTTCCATCCTCTTTGGAGGTGCTCTACTTGTTCAACTTTATTTCATTTACAGCAGGAAAATAAAAAATAGCCCTACTGCTTAAACGAAGAAAAATTAGGAATTAATTAGATCAGAGAAAAATGTCCCAGTTCTGAGTCTTCTGAAGAAGTTTAAAACTCTGACTTCTACCAGTAGTTAGGCATCCAGTATCAGGTCCTACATAGGCAGTAACAGCAAAGTGGAAAGTTGTTATTCCCCTGTTTGGATTTCCATCTCAGAGCATGGTAACTTACTTTCCTCTTATGGTATAAGACTTAGTGCTCTCTGGATACCTACATTAGATACCTAGAAAATCAGCACGATTTTCTATTTTATAGGGATTGTAGTGCCAGCTAACAGTTTCCAGGAACATAAGAACTCATCTTTTTTTTTTTTTAAGAAAATGCCATCATGCAGTCTTTTTTCTTATGAGAATGGCATCTTTTCTGAGAGGGACCTGTCGTGCTCTTAGAATTAACAGTATGTGAAACATCATCAGCTCTTAAATGAAGACAAACTTCCTGAAGAACCCTAAATTGAGTCAGGGTTTCTGGACTTTGTCAATCCAAATAGCTGAGCCCTCTTGGAGCAAGCCACTGTGCTATCACAAAGTTTTCATAGTTCAGAATATTTGAATATACAAAGTCTGATAGGGCTCTGCTTTTGAAACGGCAGCCCTATGTGAAGAGTCATTTTAAACATTTCCTTTCAGATAGAGCTTTTTCCATTTTCATGTCTTGCAGCATAAGCCTTCCCAAAATAGTGTCATTCCATATCCAGTTATGCAAGAGGAAAATGGTCATAAGCATATTTTTTTCAGGTGACGTTCAATTTAGGCCATGCACTTTAATGCAACTGGGACAGCTAGCCTGCAGTGAAAGCTTATGAGCTAGCTGTAATACTGCTGAGAATGACACTAGCATCATGGTACATAATTCAGTGAAGTTATCTGATAAGATACTCATTAGTATCTGTAGCACTGCCCAAAAAATAAACAGGGTGGTGGCTGTGGTAATAGGATGATGATATCTTGGGAAGGAAAAGGTTAATAAAAATGTACACAACTCATGACTATGAAGTCTGCAGCCTTTTAAATGAAACTAGATGAATACTTCCACAAAAAAAGTAATCATTAGCACCTTCTAACTAAGGTAAAAATCATTAATAACAAAATGATCTAATTAGGACTACCTGGCCACCCCTTAAGTTTGCATAAATCAGTGTAATTCCATTGATTCCAGAAGCAGTAGTCACACAGTCTAACTTTAAACATCCAGCTGTGTTAATCAATGGAGAGAGATACATTTCTGCAAAGGGCAATGCAGAGCAACGAAGCAGATTGTGCTCTGAATTACAATTCTAAAGGTAGAGGTAAATGTACAACACAAGATGAAGTTACTCATTATTCATTGTTATAACTAATCCCTGTGCAAGAAGATCTAGATTGTTTTATTTGGAAAAATCACTAATGACATTTGTAAAACAGCTTTATAAGAAAAATAAAAATCTGAGCAAATATCTGAGCACTTCTACAATAGGTTTGAGATGATTGAATGGAATCTGACATGGACAGATATATTTCAAGGCTAATACCTTCAGGTGATAGCTTCTCTGGGAACAGCTGCTGGGGATGTCATTTCTCATTTGTTATTGTTTCACTGGGTCAGGAAATCACCCTTATGCAGGGCAAGAAAACAGTATCAAATGTGTGCACCCAGCTACAGTCCACTATGGCTGCTTCAGGCAGCTTCATCCACATAAAAGTGAAAAGGGAATCATTTATTTGGACAGTGCTGAAACAGAGTGCTTTCCAAATTCTACTGGAAATGAAATTAAGCGTAATTGCCAGTTTGTGCCATAAAGGACCTGGAATGACCTAAGGGGATATGTCATACCTTTTCCTGGGATGGCTGGGGTAAGACCTTTTCTACGCTACTCACTGCTCACCACATGTCGATGGGACACCTGGAGTGATACATGTTGTGCCACCAAGACCCAACAGACCTTGGTGCTCCACTTCTCATTAACTCTCTGCCTTTTGGCCCTTTACAAGAGAAGAGTAACATCTAGCCCTAGAAGAGCCCATCCAGCCTGCAGCTGGAAATCTGAGCAGTAGACAGTCATGAGCTTCTTGCCCTGTAACTGACTAATGAAAACTTTCCGTTGCATTCTTAAGATTTGCTTGTGAGTTTGTTGAGCCAAATATTCTAGGTTAATGCATTTAGCAGAAGAAAAAAGGTCCCTTGGCATCATGTGGCATGCTCTACTCATGATACTCCAAGCCAGAGCTTTCAGATGAAGAATTTTTTGCTATTACAGAAAGGCCTCTTAAAGATTGCACTTCAATCTGTCTGTCAACAAAACTGGCTCAGACTTGCTCCATTTCCAAATGAAAAAAACTTTCTCAAGCTGTCAATCTCATAAGCCCACCCTAAGGTTGGAAGCTCCTTTCTTTCTGTTCTGAGCTTTTTGTTGTTCTACCATTCATCATCACCCAAAAAAGGCATTCTGCAGCCAGAAGCCAAGTAATCATTTTCTAATAATACATAAAGGAGAAGGCAATCTAGTTTGTTCTCCCATAGCTGCATTGTCCTCCCAGGGTAAACTGCAGTAAGAACTTTATTTGGCAGTAGAATAAGTAGCTGTTGCTTAAAGATACTTGGAGACATCAAAGTGTCCTATTTACATACTTTTTTGACCTTATTCTCACTCCAGCATTGGCTGGCCTGTGCTCTGAGGTAAGACTTCCCCAGAATTTGGCTAATTCTCTGTCTCTTCTAAAAGCGTTTATGAAATCACTAACACCTGAAGAAACAAGGAGCCACGTTCTTCCTTCTGTGACTAATCATGGTATCAGCAGGACATTTTCACACATTTTTATTTATAATTATAGAACATCCAAAGCTCAGAAGAAACGTCCATGGTTTATAGGGAACAGGCAGCAGTAACACCAAAGGTGTCCACAGAGCTCTCTCTGCACAGGACAGACAAGGCAGTAGATCATCTCCCCACTGGCCAGCTGTCTGTATGTGCAAGGTTGTACAAACTGGGGTCAGTATTATAGTGCAGACTCCCTGATTCCAGGTTTCTAGCCTATTGGAGAGGGACACAACATACAAGCAAGCTGAAGGAAGATGACAGGAGTGGACCAGATTGTCACTCTTAGTGTCCGGCTGGAAATAAGAATTTGAGGCTTCCAGTTTGTTAAGCATGGCATGTTCTCAGGCCTTTGGCCCAGTGCAAATTTGCTCCCATCACCTCCCTGTCAGAGCAGTGGCCTCCCCTGAGGCTTCACAGATAAGTCAGGAGATGTGGATTTATGGTATCCACAGCTTCACTCCCTGCTGAGATAAAGCTGCATGGGCTTGGCTGCACAGAGGCTGGGAACCTGCAGAAGATACCACAAATTCCCATCCCCAAAAACCCCTCCTAGCTCCAAACATTTTCTCTTGCCATAGGCTCCAAAAGAGCAACTCCTTGCTCTGTTGCTTATTGCTCCATAATCTGGCATGCGAGTTAGTGTGCCTCTCTCTTGCTCAACAGTGATTTACATGGTTTTAACAAGTGTCCCTGGTTTCCCGAGGTAATACTCTGCTGAGAACCGAATGCTCCCTGCACCGTTCCCACACTGCCTGCTCACACCCTTGCCTGCACAAGATGCAGCAGCGCAGGGGAGCCTGGCAGCAGCTTTGTGACGCTGCAGGAAGGCATGGCCCATGGGCTTTGCTTCTCCTTTTGGCCTGCCTTGAATGTTATTCCCTTTTGCATTTCACCATTGAGGTAATGCTAGGGCCCTGAGTGCGATGGGATTGCCGTTCTTTCCGGAAAGCTGTGATTTCACATGCATGTGTTTTGTGGACAAGACTTACTAGTGTGTGTGACATATGAAATTCAAGCTAAAAAAATACCAAGACTGATCTATAACTTTAACCATTTCAGGGTTCCCTTTAGTGCCAGCATCTATTCATGCTGTTGCAAGAGCCAGATACTTCAATGACAAGTGAGTAGCATGTCTGTTTTTGAAGGAACTTAGCATTATTTAACTGTGTAACACATTTTATTTCAGTTAATAATAAATTTTAATGGTGTATTTCCCCTCCAGCTGCTGGATGAGTGTTGACACGCACTTGCTCTATATTGTTCACGGACCTGTAATGGCAGCTTTATTGGTAAGAATATTATTTGCTATCAACAGTTTAATAATTATTTTAGAAATGCTGCTAACCTGTACAGAACAGAAGTTTCTGTACTTTAAGTGTTTTGGTCAAAACTCAGAAGTAGCTAGAGACTTTCTCTACTCAGTGTTACAAGGACAGGTTCTCAATGTTTTTCAAAAACAAGTCCTCTAAAGGGACCTCCCATTGAAGAATCAGATTGAGGCAAACAGAATCACTAACTGCTTTTGAAAATCAGGGCGGTCACTCTCTCCCAGTGTAACTTATTTGTGACAAATGTATTGCATTTATGTGACATCAATGAGGCATTTAGCTATGCTTTAGCTGGGGTGAGCTGAGTGCAGACTGGTCGCTCAGCATGAGTCTTACTTGTCATTGAACTGGTGTGGTCCAAAGGTAGGGAGCTAAACTAGTCCAGGGAAGGGACGGGACTGGGCTGTCTGAGTAGGACAAGATTCAAAGTGCAGCTTGGCAATGTGTATACATATAGCGTCTTGTATGCTAGTGGTGCTGTTTGGCACAGTAACCCTGACCTTCCTGAAAGGTGCAGTAAGGGTTTTATTCAACCCAAGCCCCAAGCTCACCTCAGTGTGTCACGCAAGATGGACTTTCAGCTTTTGAGCTGTCTCTTGCTTGCAAACTTCTGCAAAGACGTACCTGCAGTAATTACCTCAGAGATCAAACAGTAGGGCAGTGAATACCGGGAACACCTTTGAATAAAGAAACAACTTTCCATCTAATAGGTGAAAAACCTGAAAATCTTTCTACACTTTCTTGAGAAGCAGTCTTGCACATCAGCAATGTGAAGAAGCCCATTCCTCCCTGCCATATAGATAGTCTGCTGTTCCCATAAAATCACATCTATTGTGGGTTTACTGGTTCAATCTTAATTGCTTCTGCTGTTGTAATGCCAGCTAGCTTCTAGAAGAGGCCATTCAGCCTTTATTTTTATCACCATGCTCCAGATCTGTACATCTTAGCCACAAAGAAAAAAGGAGGGACTGGTTTTTATGTAAAAAGAGCAATCTTTAACTGTTTTCGAAGTAAGGTATTATAATTTCTGGTTTGTGCTTATGCCATTTCTAGTCTTATTTTTCTTGTGACGATATCAATGTCTACAGAACGTCCTGCATGATTTGATGCAAAAATCCCATAGTGACAGACTGGCTCAGAAGAGCTGGGATTTTTACCTTTCTAAAGTCTTTTTTCTGCTTTTCACAGTTACTTCCAGAAATTCTAAAAGTGAAGGTTAAGCAGAGTGAGTGAAGTCAGAGTAGGATGGAGAATAAGGTTTAGATTTAATGCTGAATGGGACCTCAGAAGTCATTTATTATTCCTTTTTTCCAGTAGAGCACAAATGTAAAACAGTTGAAAGGTCTCTCACTAGTTAAGAAGTGATGAAATGCTTTACCAAAGCCTATTGACTCATGTTTTATTGTTCTGAAAGATTCAACTGAAATTTCTTATGTATCTATGGAATTCAGGGTATTAAAATATCTATGTAAGTTTTGCAACTTACATACTTCTTTTAAAAAATCATCTGAAAAAAAGCCTATTGATGTTCCGAAATGTAGGTGCCTCATATTACTGTAACAGAGTGGAAAAGAGTGATCTGGGCACACTGGAGAGGGAGAAGGTCTGTGATACCTAGGGTGTCCGCAGGGTACCCGCTGGGCTCATTATCAGCCTGGGTTTGCCCTTCCTGCTCCTCCGCGGGCTCTCAGCACAGCCCGCAAGGGGCTCTCTGTGAAGCCAGGGTCAAGAGCAGGTTTCCGTATGCTGAGCACCCACAGCTGGAATCAGGGTTCTAGAAATGACTGAGGAGATGAGATGCTGAGCTACTTGGCATCGCCGACCATAAGGGTCAGGGGCAAAACTTTCTGAAGCCTCTGGCATTTCTGCCCTGAGCCAGCAAGTGTTAACTTTTACCTGTGGGTAGTGTACCACGGGGTCCACGCAGTCTGGTGGAGGCAAGGGGCAGCCTAGGTTCTTCTCAAGAGCAGCCTTGCCCCCCTGCTCATACACAAGCCTGAAGTAGTGGCCCATGTAAGATGGAGCACATTCCTCAGAGAAATTGTGTGCCCCCGTAGGTCCCACATGCCCAGGGACACACTGGGGTTTGTCTCACCTGGCTGCAGACATCTTCAGTGCGGACTGACGCAAGATACCTAGGTGACTTTCAGCCTCAGAATAGAGACATGGTTACTCCTTGGGGACAATTTGTCCATCCCGTTTAAACTTTAGACATAAAAATGAGATTAATTGTTCCCTGGAAATCCTGAATTTGCCCATATCACTGTCAAAACAGCCAGTGTTTCCTAGAACTGTTCCCTGCCTGCCTGAAACATCCATTAAGGCTTCCTAAGGGAAGCGTGTAAAGCAGCTTCACATCTCTTTTCTGAAGACATTCAAGGTACTTTCTAAGGCCTAACTCCCAAGCAGCTGCCCATTATGAGCTATGATGAAGCTAGAAAACTACAGTTTACTGCCATTTATGTGCTCTGTATTTTTATTTTGAATGTCAGTTTAATTTGAGTGCTTTCACCTATAATGGCTTTGCTTTTGCAGGTCAATTTTTTCTTTTTGCTTAACATTGTCCGAGTTTTGGTGACAAAACTAAGAGATACCCATCGTGCTGAGTCCAACATGTATATGAAAGCTGTCAGAGCCACTTTAATCCTGGTGCCCTTACTAGGAATTCAGTTTGTTATTATTCCCTGGAGACCAGAAAACCGACTTGCTGGAGAAATATATGATTACATCATGCATATATTAATGCATTACCAGGTATGTTATATAGTAGCAACTTCAGCTTAGGTGAGGTGCTTGCTGTTAAGTTAATTTAGCCAAAGATGCTGTTGCCGGTTGTCTTGCCCTGAAACTAAGCAGGACTGTGGTTTTGCAGTTCTTTTCTAACCGCTTTCACATTATTGGATTATCTGCCTTTGCATGAGTTGCACAGCTACATAAATAACAACCACGCGATAGGGAAGACTATGAAAAATGCAGCAAAAATGATCAGATGGCACTATTTCTAAACTAAGGAGAGAAAACTGAGATCACAGAGGGCTTTTATGTTCCAACACGATTTCTGTTGAAGTGCTCAAATTGACTGAAACTGGTGCTGTGAGGTTAATATTAAAATTAGCTGTGTATGCAAACTGTTGTACAGAGGGAATGCCAACACACAGAATAAACGACTGAGACAATGAAGCTTCATTTAGGAGTTAATATTCCATTATTAGGCAGTTTAAATTAAAATATAAGACTGACATTTTTATTTCATAAATGCTTTGGAAATACAGCATCATTCAGTAAGTCTGGTTTGTTTTCTTTTAAAAACAAAACAAAACAAATCTAACTGACTTTAAATGCTTGGTGATCTGGTTTACTGACTACAATATATCCAGTCCTATATTGACTAAGAAAGGCAGATTTCTAATGTGTTTGTGAATAGTGGTCAACATGAGTGAATACAGTGACCCGCTTCTTGTTTCCTTTCCTTCAGAAGCTAAATGCAGAAATTATTTTAATGTTGTAGTAAGAAAACAGTTTAAAAAAAAATCAGTGGTGCTTTTTCCTTAAATGAAATTATAAATAATGCTACCAAAATCTATGCATCCTGTCATCTTAGATTATATTTTCTGCTTATCACCCTTATCCCTTCAAAACTGTGGGTGTGCATGCTATTGCATGCATAGAATAACTGAAGTTATAAGTCTATTTTTGCAGTGTATGCCATCTTATATTACAGTTCTGCTTAAAAGAAATGTGAGTCTGCTTATTCTATTGTTACTTGTATTGTCACTTCTTTGGTCTCAAGGGCTATAAAGGAATATCTCCAAATAAGTTTTCTGGTGACAAGTTGCTTACAGTTTTACCAAGTTAGGATAAGATAGAGTGTTATAATTATCATTTTACTCTTAAAACATCTTTCAAATCCTGTGAGGTTGTCGGAGAATTACAAAAAGAATGTTAGTAATCTTAATTAACAATCCTAATTATGATTATTATGCAATAGAAAGTCACCAAACCAATGTTAAAATGGAACCAGAAACAAAACCAAAGTATCGTGAAACTGTTGTACCAATGGATGGGAGTAGGTGAGGGACAGATCCAAGGCGGTAAAGTTTCATCTCCAATGGGTTCCTTCTGCCCTTGTCTCAGTCATCGGGAATAGGTGTCTCTCCGTGGCTTGTTGACCCCGATCCCCCCCTGCCAATACATTTTGTTCCATTTCAGCAGTGGGGACAGTGCTGAGGACACCGGTGTGGGCACATGGTGGGGGCTGCCCCTGCCCCACTGCCGCTGTGCCCGGAGAGGCCACTGGGCATGCTGAGGGGTGGCAGCCCACCCAGGGCTATCCCCGAGCCAGGGCAGCAATGCAGACCTCACAGGAGAGCTCTTGACACCTCTGCAATGTAACCTCAATGTGCTTCCCACCAGCATGTAAAATTTGGCTTTTTGGGAGGGCTGTGCAGTTGTCTTGGCTAACTGCAGCTGACTGTGATGCTCCCTTTTCTACTTAGAGTGGATTTTTAATTGTATTCTAAAATAAACTTTCTTAATCCTTTCCTAAACATTTCTTGTATGCATATTTAAGATAGCCAGCTATATAACCACTCCTCTGTTGCTCATTTTCTTCTAAGACTGATTATGTAATTAGCAGATATTGTATTAGCATGTGTAATGGCTATATTTCCCTGCTAGCTATTGCGCTCTCATAAACCACAGCGCAGCCTGCCTCCCCATAAACTAGCAGCAGCCTATTACTTTTTGCATCCCGTGGCATGTCAATCATATACAAGCAGGCATTGTGGGTGCAATTATGATTTTTTTCTGGTGGAAAATACAATACATTCTCCATTTCTGCACTGGTTAAGTGATTAATTTTTTATGGCTTTTCTAGAACAAAAGAGAGACAGATTTTCAACAGCACACTGCTTTAAGTGAGCACGATGGTTTCATGTATTAGTTACATTGTCCATGTACACAGAAATGGTACAAACAAGCACTGCAGTCTATTGTAAAAATCAGAGGATTGAAAATGATGAATGAGAAAGGGTTTGTTCCCACAAGAAACTGTGTCATGGTATTTTTTTCAGAGAATGGTTTTCCCAGCTGATAAACAACATGTCGAAAGGTTACATGCTAGGTTTCCTCTACTGAAGTTACTTTTGAATAACAGAAGCCAGTCTGGTTTCAAATTGTCCTGGTTTTTTTGCAATACTATCATCAATGCTCACCATTTTAAGCAGAAGTGGTTTTTTTTCAAATATGACTATATGAGCAATTCCCAAACACTGTATATCTACCTACCCTGTATCAACTGGCTTTTGTGCTGCAAATATGAATGCATGTACTTTGCCAGCCAGCATCCCATGGATACTGTAAAACTAGAGATTAATATCACCCCTCACCATCACCAATATCAGCCCTTCAGTCTCCAGACTGTGCTGAAATGAAGACTGCACCAGGCAAAAGAACGATATTTCAACCCTTAAGTGGAATAACTTATGCACAGAGTGGGATGCTGTAGGTGCATTGCTGAACACGCAGTTAGCTTATTAAACAGAGCTCCTAAAGTAGGCACCAGAAAGCAGACGTTTGCACTCCAGAAGAGCCAGTGAGTTGCAGATTTTCCCTAGAGGACCTCACTTCCAAAAGCCTGTTAGATGATGTTGAGAGTACATGAAAGATGCAGACTTCCTCAGAGTGTAAAGCATTACAGTACAGGATGCGCTGGCTCCTTGCACACTTCAGGCATGAAAACACACCTCTCCCTTAAAAGCCTGAAAACTCCCACCGTGCTGCCCAGCAAAGATGAACTGGTACACCTGGGCAAGGAGGGAGCCTACTGCCAAGGAGTGGAGCAGCGACAGCCCTGTGTCCTGCAAGTACCTGCATTCAGGTCTCCGTGCCAAGGGAGGGCAGGAGAGATGTGGCTTGTGCCTCACACCCTGGTGGGGCCATCTGCACCTCTGCTGGCCCTGGGGCTGCTGCTGCTGCTCCCCCCACCCTGGGAACCTCTGAGCATCTTTTGAGGGGTCCCAGGCTGCAAAGAGATCGGGGTGCTGAGCTCCTGTCAGAGGGTCTGCTACCAGAGACCATTATCCCAGCTTCTGATCTCTGACGTTCGTCCAGCAGAGGCCTCACAAGAAAAAAGGAAGAGTAGAAAAATGCAATAACCCCATGATACATCGGTTAGTCCCACACATAGACCCCTCCACCAGATGCTCTCAAACAAGCTCAGTGATTAACGCACTCCTGCTTGCGAGCTCCTTCCACCAGCTGTGCCTTCTCACCAAATTCTCTCTCCAGTGCATTGTAGCTGGGTTTGTAGAGGCTATCACGGCGCCTAACATGGCACTCTTGCTATGCCAGAGAAGACTTAGCCATGGAGGTCTGCTCGGTGCAGTGGAGAAATAACCCCCCAATCAACAGCAATACATAAGCACTTAAAGTTACTCTTCTTCGCAATACCTTGCTGACTGTGGCCCTAAATGTGCAAGTCTGCCTCTAATGAGAAATTAAAACACTATTCAGCATAAGAGACTTGGGGTTTATTGGCAAATAAAAAGTTTTTTTCTATTAATGATGCCAAACCAGACAGAAACATTTTCTCCTTCTGTGCAAAGTTAAGGTCATAGGACTGCTTTTGACAACATAAATGGGTTTTTTTATTTCCTATTCTTTTTTTATTTGCATTATTAGTAATTTCAAGAATTTCTAATATTCTGAGCCAATAAAAGTTGGGGAAAATGGTTTTTTGAAAGCTGGATATTATAAAGAGCTATTTTTGTATGAAAAATTCATGTACAAAATGACAGTAATGAATCTCCAGCAGGGAGTGGGAGAAGCAAAGTGTGAGCTTTGGCTGATGGGATGTCTCCATCATTTTGCAGCAGGGAGGCTGCCATCTTCAGCCCTCTCATGACAGTCTCCCCACCTCAGTAGCAGCAGAAACTGCACAGACACATTCTTTGCTTTGCTTTTTTTTTTTTAACTTAACATAAATGAACGCTTGATAACGCAGTCATTTACCTCAGAGGTACCGTATTAATGTGCTGTGAATGAAGATGATGAGGAACACGATATTGTTTTTCTCAAAGCTTTTTATCTTTGCTGAAATGAGAGAGATGGGAATCAGAAGTATCTGTATGAAGAAACTTGGCCATGCTTTTTTTTTTTTTTTTTTTGCTGTCCATTCAGATCCAGAGTGAGAATTGAATGGACATGGACCAAAGCTCACACAGAGAATCACAAACTGATTTTTTTTTATATTATGGCCATCTGTACAATTACATGTGCCATCATCGTCTACCATCAATAATGAATATATCATCCCACTAAAGCCTAAATGGCAACACACTGTGTGTAATTAGGGCAGAAACTAAGGCCGTGGACATGCTCAGGAATAACAGGAATAAGCATATCTTTATATACTTTCTTGGTTTTATGGAGACATAAGCTAGAAGAAAAGCAACCGAGGTATCAGAAACCCATGTAAATTTGCAGTATCTGCATAGATATTTTTTGTTTGTTTCTTTTTAACCTAAGCAAATTACTGGAACTTCTCTTCAAGACACTCAAGTCTTCTAGGAGAGTGAGATACAAATTAAATACCTGTCAAGCAAAGAATGTCCTTGGACCACTATAGGCACTTAAACACAGGGAAAAATTCACTATGGTGTCAGTAAGTTACATGAAGGTCTGAGAGCTGCTGAATCTGCCCAATCCCTAAGGCATGATTTGGCTGAAAGCCACATTAATCTGGTCTTCACATGGTTCGAGAAATAAAGAATTTCAGAAGAATCCATTTATCTCTGCCTTCAATACAACAGCCAACGTTACCCTGCTGGCAGCAGATGACATATCACAGGTCAGTTTAACAACTCCACAGAGTGGCGGAGAGATAAAATTGACCTAGAGATCTCATCCTCAACAAGAACTGCACCCTGAGCGAAGACCAGCAGCAGTTAGAGAGAATATGGATGATGCATGTCAAAGAGATATGAGAAATAACCTGTGGGCCTTACATGAAATAATTAACCTACATCCAGTCTGTCACATGTTTTAATAAATCCACTGTAGATTTATCATCATCCCAAGCCCTCCTGGCTCTCAAGAGACAAAGCTAGTGTCTGCTGCAGATATCTGTTTAGCTTTACAGCTGGAGATAACAATAGTCCTCTGAACTATGGGCAAAATTTTATGTATAAAATGGAAGAAAGAGAAAAAGAAAGAAATAGGAAGAGAAATAGAAACAGAAACAGAAACAGAAACAGAAATAGAAATAAATAGAAATAGAAACACAGATGGCAAAGCTCAGAGGGCTGTTGCTGGTGGAAGAAGAGCAATGAGACATATATGGGACAAACTAGAGAAAATAATTTCTTCAGCCAGAAGATGTACAACATGCATGGTCTCAAAATAACAAGGAACCAGATCTGCTCTCAGCTCACTCCAGACCAGAAGAGCAACTGAAAGAGCTATAAGGCATCACCACAGCTTCCTCTTTAGCTTTTCTGTCAGAAGTTGTCTGGAGAAAACACTAGTTAAGGGAACCACACTCTCCAAAAGAAGAAAAGTAGAGCAATTGCAGGATATAACAGAGGACTTAAAATACCATACAGGAACAGAAATGGAAAATGGCTTCACTTCAATAGTTCAGGTTCAATTTTTGCCTGCAGTGAACTGCAGTTCCCAAATTTGCCCTAAACAGGGGAAAGAGACTTAGAAAAATTTCTCTGCTTCTTTCTCTCCTCCTGCTGTCTTTTGTGTCTGCCATGCCTCATGTGGACTGTGCATTGAGTGTCCCCACTTCCAGAGGAGATCAAGATCCATCTCATTTGCCATCGTGGCTGACTGCTGTTAATAAAAACACACTTTAGCAAAATAGCAAGACCCCTGCTGCAACCATGTGCAATGCAGTTCAACAGCAGATGTTTTGCAAGACTGTGCAAATTAATGTAGTGCACACAACGCAGGAGAAAATCAATATAGGCCACCGGGAAGTGACACATTTGCTCCCCTTGCATAAATTTTTGATTTAGGAATCAGTGGTCTGTCAAAGTCCTGCTTTAGAGACATAAGGTTTTGGTTGACTTTGTGGTGTTTCTCAGACCAGAACATATGGACAAACTACTGTGCATTGCATATTGTACACTGGGATTTGAGTTTTTTGAGAATACTCACTGTTTATCCAAAACATGAAAAGAAACTTTCTTTTTCTCACTATGTCTACCTCCTTGCACATGCTTTTCTGTGTTCATATTTGAAGTCGTGTCAAATTACAAATTCTGCATTAGAGAAAATTTCCTGGAGTAAAACAATTGCCAAAATTCAGGTGGTCAGCCCCTCTTCAAACCAGCCTGTGTATTTCTAATGTATAAGCATTTTGTTAACACAGTTATTGCTTATCCTACATTTCTGGTCCAAAATAGACACTTGAGAGTCCAAGACATTTTACAAAGCATTAGCTACAATTTAACTGGTAATCTGTTAAATGAGGGTTTATAAAAAAAATACAGCTGTAAAGCTCTTTAAAGCAGCCCTTGGGAGCACAAGCTATTGTATTGCAGTTTTCCCCTCAATTTCACAAGCTGCCATACGTTTAGTTTATAACAACTGCTTTAAATAATTTAAAATGAAGGCATGTGGCTCCCAGTGATGCTATGTAATGTTATTTTAATAAGAGTGATTGTGGTTAGGACATGGACCAGTGTAACTACGTGATTCTGAATAGCAGGGTCTGTGTATGAGAATTTTCTCTCTTATTAATTTCACACTTTCTCACCTCATGTTCCTGCCTTCACCCTCTTTAATCTTGTAGCAGTAGTGAAATATTATCTGAACAACTGTGGCAATAATTAAACTAATTTTATGCCATTTAGGACCAAGCTATGATCTGCAATCTCTCTTGTTTTTTCTTCTGTCCCCTTACCTTCTAATTCACCTCTTATGAGGTTTTTTTTCCTTTTTTTGACCACTTATACCTCTTTTTACATAATCTCCATCCATCGTGATGCCCCACATACGAGTTCACTTATCCTGACATACAGTTCAATTTAAAGCCTTCCTGGGGCAGCTGGATTCTCCTTGGCTGACACTTTTAACTGGGTAACTGCACTCTGACAAATAAGTGGCAGCATGTAGGACACAATTGCTCTGCCATCTCTTCGGCAAAGTCAGTGGTAGTGTGGTACTCCACTGTAAGCAAAATATCTATCTAACTTACTTACATAGCATTCAATGTTCCTTCTCTGGGCCTCTTGTACAAAAATAACTTCATAGCCAAAATAGATAATCTATAAATGCTAGTAATATAGAAGAAGATGGCAAAACATGTTGAAAAGACAAAAATCAGTGTAATAACATAACTGTGAAAGAGGAGGAGGTTAGGTGAAATGTCTGTGATGCAGAGGAAGTGAACTAATGTTTTTATCTTGTATCTGTCGAGTCCAAATTTCCAAACAATGCCAAAAAAAATTATATATTCTGATCTCTAAACTCTTTTCTTTTCTTTTCTCTTAGGGGTTACTTGTGGCAACTATATTCTGCTTCTTCAATGGTGAGGTAAGCATGTGAAATACAGCAAATGAACAGAATTTGAAAAATAGTCACTGTGTTGTTCATTAATGCAGAAATAAACCATGTTGCGCTACAGACTTTGAAACCAAACAAAGTCACTTTTTACTTTCTATATACAAGCAGCAGTGTGCATTTTTGAAAGCTCTGTGCAAAGCGTGACTTGAATATCTCTGAGCAGATTCATCAGGAGTGTTACCATTACAAAGCAGATGGCACCAAATGAGGTACAGGCATGCAACTCTCCCCTTACCATCTGCAATTTTGAGACAGAGGTCTAAGTAAAGGAGAAAAATGCTCTACTTCCCTTCCTGCCCCAGAATAGTGGGGAGGACCACAATGCTCCATAAGAAGCAGGCTGGTTTTGAAACATTCTCTCCCCATAGGAATGACTGTATAGCCATGTACAGGCAGTGCTCCAGTGTGTCCTCACTTGCCTCCAAACAATGTGTTACCCCAGAATCCTGGTCTCGAACATTGCCTTCTTCCTTCTTCATTCTCCTGAACATCACCTTCCATTTTTTTTCAGATTAGATTTTGCAGAACAAATTTGCTTAACGTTTTATAGCTTTAGTGTCAAAGGTTGATTATTCTGTAATTCTCCACCTCTAATGAGCACATACAGATTTGTGCCTAGATTAAAAGTTGTAGCAATGCTAAAAATGAGGAAAGGCAGCAAGAAAATGGACTGAAAACATAAAGTATCTTAAAGGCTGTTTGTTTCTCAGATATGTTTCATCAGATAGCTCTAATTCCAAAGTGCTTTTGGCAATGCCACAGTGTCAGAAAAGCATACCCACCTTTACACTTCCAGGAATACAGTTTTCAAGTTACACCATAATGAATATAACTGGAGCATCTGCTTGCCAACATCATGACAGACCATATATATCATTTAATTCAAAATTAGATTGCAGGGTATGAATGAGTTTACCTGTCATATGAACAAGCGTATAGTGTGCAAGGCAGAAAACTAAAAGCCACATTCCAGGAATGAAAATGAGTCTAAAATAAATACACAGCTCTTTTGTTCATTAAGTATTGTATTACATTTCATTTAGAATTCAGAATAAATATATTTGGATTAAGAAAATGCACCATATTCATACATGATATTCAGACGTCCAACCTCAGAGACACGCTGCACTTTGTGGTCTTCTGCATTGACTGAGCTGCTGTTAGGAAGTGGCAATAGCAGCCAGTCATTCCTTACATGGACTGAAGATGCATGGTCTAGATCCAAATCCTGAATAACAGCAAAAGTCACCAAACCTCTATTCACCTCTGAAAGTCTTTTTGACACATCTGGCAGCCCACAGTAAAAAGACCTCTTAGTTGTGAAAGGCTCTTATGTGGATATCCACTTTTGATACTTGAGTTGTCAGCAAGTCATTACTGAGGGGACACATCTGGAAAGGATGATGCCCAAAAGGAGATAAAAATGAATCTGATATTGAAATATGGCTTCCAGTTTTGTACTCTATTGCTCCCATAAGTAATCACGTGGATGGCTTAACTACCTTTGGGTATGTCTAGACTGCAGGTAGGATTAATGACTCCTTGGTGGAGTGGCTGATCAGAAATGTTCAGCAGTGTCAGGCAGTAAGAACAAACAGCTGGGGGGATTCAGGTTTCCTAAACATGTTGAGAGTGATTTTTGTTGGTGCTTGGGTATTTTTCACCATTAGACCCATTTTCAGAATTGTTGTATCTGCTTCAGTCTTGCAGACTGTCTAACATGGTCAATGGCAGGGATGCTGAGAAACCCTCTTGTTATTTTCTTCTAGGAAATTTTGTTTACTAGACAATAAGGGAAGCTTTTTTTTTAGAATTTCCCTTTAAGGTGGGCAGGGAGTCAAAGATGACACCTCTCTAATACAGACTCAAGACAGTTTGGTGCTACTTGCATTAGCACATTCCAATAAACACCAAGCAAGTTTAGGTACTAGAGTAGCTGGGCTGGGCTGGGCTTTGCCAGAAAAGAGGATGAAAGGATTATGACCCCTTTCCTCCAAGTCCCATCTATTTCTGCAGTTACACAAGGTGTAAATATATAAAGCACAAAACCTACAGAGGAGCAGCAGCAGACTAATGCTAAGATGGTATTAAGTCCTTCCAAAGGGAGCACTGGTCTGAGTTTGTCTGCCCAAGAGAACTAAGCTGAGATAACTTCCCCCAGTCCTGCTGTGTGCAGCAGGACATAGACCAAAGCCACAGTCTGGTCTTCAGGCATGGTAGGAGATTGTTTCCAAGCTGCTGTATACATCTGCTGCCATAGAGCTCAAAATTATTTCTCATGAGAAAATTCAATGTGGGGCAAGGAGAGTAATTTTAGTACCACAGGAGCCTGGATATTCTGGGATTTACTTTTTCCTACTGGAATATTTAACTTCAAGGCTGAAATACATGAAGTTTAGCCAGGACAAACAATGCTAAACTCAGTACCACCTGACAGTGTTTTATATTGCATTCATTGCCTACTACCTCACCAACCTGACTTAGTACCACGACCCCATCTACAGAAAGAAATGTAAAAATAGTAATAAGAAGCTGTACCAATGCCTGCATTCATGTGGGAGAACACATAAACAATGGATTTGTTTTGGACTTTTAAAATGACAGATCTTCTTGTGCATTTTCATATAAAATCTGTGTCCAGCAGCACTGTAGTTTCTCTGTCCAACAACAACAGTGTTGTACAGATGATACAAGGTCTCTGCAATAGTCTGCTCACCAGACCATGTTTCCAGGCCTGAGATTGCTTCTAGACTGCAAGGCTGGCCAACAAAATGGAAAGTCTCTTTGAAAAAAAACCAGCCATGTATCTTGTGTGCCAAAGAGGCATGAATGGCTAATAGAGAACAGAAAAGTCTTTAAAGTCCTGAAGAGCAGAGTAAATAAACTCAGGCTCTTCATTTCTTTAGACTGTACTTTCTTTCATCTGCTATCACGGTGGAAAGCATGGCAGGCATCGTCCTGCCCCTCTCGGTCCCCAGGAGCCTCTTTGTTCATTAATACGTTATGGCTGTGCATGTGATTTTCACTAATGCTGCTTACACATTTAAAATCCATGCATGAACAGTTTTAGTTGGCACTGAATTATGATCATCTGAGATCCTTGGAATCATGGCAGAAATCTAGATGAACATGTTGTTTTACTCAAGTGCAGCAGCTTGTACTGTCCATTATCTGTTTGTGGCTGGATTCTTATACAGGCCAGCAGTTCAGTGGAGAATAAAAACACAGCTGCTTTGACCTCATGCCGTCACTGCTCCATGCAGCCTTTTAAACCTGAGTAATGGCACTTCTAATCATGGGCTGAACTGGAAGAGGTGTGCCTGTTCTGTCCCCAACCATACATACAATTGCAGTGTCACTCCCTTCTGAGAAGAAAACTATAAGCTCCTCACGGCAGGCTTTATAAGACTCAGTGACATTGTTCTCCCCTCATCAGTTAACTGTTATCATCTCCAGACCTATGGTTGCTCTGGTGGCCCATCAGACTCCAGTTCAACTGAGAGCAGTTTGAGAGCTCAGCAGGAGCTCATCACCTTCACAGCAGCTCTTCTCCCCATGCAAGAGACATCAAAGCCTTGGGGTCTATGCAAGGGGCAAGGGGCTAGGAGAGGAACAGGAAGGCTGTAACAGCATGTTCTTGCCACCTTCACTGAGGATGCCGAGATTAATCTCAATGGATGAACAGCTGTGAAATGCAGACACACTCAATACTTAGGGGCAGAGGCGAAGGCCAGAGGTGCGCAATGGCTAGAGGTGCTAATGACGGTGGTGGTGGTGCTGGAGAGATGGCTGCAGGTGGGCAGAGCTGCTGTGCTTGCGTTATCCTCATTGTGTCCAGCCTTAGGTTCCAGGAGCTGCTGCCCCAGTGTGATATTGGGGAAAGTCACTGACTTAGTACTTCTGAAGATTTCTTCTTCCGGTCCTTCCCTATAGCTTCTAGGGTGACTGAGCTACAATATTCATGCTATAACATCAAAAGGTAATTTTAAAGTGACTAAAATCTTTACAGGGTTTACCTCACATGTAATGTTTCTGTATCATGTGCTACAACCACATTACTCTTTCACACAGCAATTCTTTCTCACTGATAAAATTTGTGATTTGAAACATCCCTGCATGCAGCCATTTCACCTTAAATCTCAGTACTGGCATAATAAGCTTTGCTCACAGCCCCAGTAATTAGAGTTCCATTGTAACCATATGCCTTTTCCATGCTTGATATCTAATTAACCTACACTCAGCCATTTGTTTTCTTTTCTTTATGTGTGAGGAGAAGGTGAATAACAATACATTTCTCCAAATGAAGAGAACTCTTAACTACTTTGTCTTGAGCTAAACAATAGCAAAAAAGAGCTAGTATTGGAAACTGGGCATGGGTATTGTTTTCAGTTAGTTTTAAAGGACTAGTCCAGCAAATCTTTGTTTACTCAAGAAAGTAGTCATACCAAAGTCAGTGCAACTACTTGCATGAGTAAGGATTTATAGCATCAATCTTCATACCTTGGCTTGCATCTTGGATTAAAAATAAAAAGCCAAAGCAACTGAAATATCCATTCTTGGCATGCTGCATAGTCCCACTGTACACTTAGTAAGCATCTCAGATTCACAGCAATTCCTTATGAAGCCTTGTCCTTATGTGACATGAAACAGCTTTCTTGCAGGCAGCTGTGGGTGCTGAGTAGATAACATTTTACTATATTCATATTAATAGAGTGATTAGAATTGTGGAGACTTGGGAAATATCAAAGTCATTCAGATTCATCTACATGAATCAAAGACACTGTTCTGCACAGAGCATAGAGAGTGATTTCAGACTACTTCCTGAGCAAAAAATGACATACAGCGTCCACCTCAGCAGGAGCACAGAAACACTGGGACACTCCTGTCATCACAGTGCCTCAGCTGCACCTGCCTTCCTCTGGAGGGGTGGTCATTTACAGCAGATTATTATGGCAAACTGCTCCTATTCTCACATTTTGCTGGCTGGAATCGCTGATCTAAAGGAACAGAGCCAGGGTTTGCCCACTCCCTGCTGATGTCTCAACGCTTCCTTTGGGAAGGAGATAGCGAGTGCCAGCGCGCCTGAATGTGCAGCTGGAGAAGGGCTTTTTATTCCCTGGCAGCACTCAATAGCTTAAGTCATAGCACCACATATAACGTCACTCTTAATGTAAATGTTGAATAAAATATTTTATTCTTAGAACATGAATGTCCTAAGGTTGAAATTCTCTGCTACGCAGAGGGCTGTGACCAGTGTTATTTTTTGCCAGCGCAGACCCTGCTCTTAAATTACCAGAACAAAATCTCTGTTTAGCTGCACTAATCCTCCAACTCTTTCTCTCTACAAAATTAGCCCTGGCAAGTTCTTGAAATGTACTTACACTTTGCCATTCATGGCCAGTTTTACTCAAGGTTAAGTTTTTTCGGGGATCACAATGCATTAGCCATTCTAGGGGCAAGGATCCAGCTGCAGCATTAGAAGGGTTTTAATCCCATCCCTCCTTCCTCTTCCTTCTTCTACCATAGCATGCTACTGTGTTCCCGTGCAGTAATCTGTTCCACATTTATCTCTTATGGGAACAGCTAATCTATACCCACTCTTCACAAGCAGTAATTGCTGCCATATGGTAGGCAGGGACGGAGTTAAGGCCAAGAGCTGAGCAACTGCTTCTGCTTCTGGAGCTGGGAGCAGAGAGGAGAAGAGAGGTAGACTGAACCTGATGGAATTAGACCTGGAGCTTTTTCTTTTTCCTTTTTTTTTCTTTTCTTTTCTTTTCTTTTCTTTTCTTTTCTTTTTTCTTTTCTTTTCTTTTCTTTTCTTTTCTTTTCTTTTCTTTTCTTTTCTTTTCTTTTCTTCCTCTCTTCTCTTCTATTTTTTCTTTTAATTTCCTTCTATTTCCTGCAGCATATTTTAAAATGTCTACAATTATAGGGGTTTAGATTATACTTCACCCTAACTATGTGTTTCTTTAACAGGTACAAGGAGCTTTGAAGAGGCAATGGACACAGTACAAAACCCAGTGGGGCCAAAGACGCCGAGAACACTGTTCCACGCGATCTACCTCCTACACTGCAACGTCAATCACAGAGGTCCCCGTTTACCTGTACCATCATGATTCCAACAATGAACAGTTAAATGGAAGATACGTGGAGGACTCTGAACTTGTTGCATTAAAATCTGGAGAGACATCTGCTTAGCCAAGCACCAGCCATTGCAAACACATCATTTCACATTCTGCTTTTGAACAAAGTGGGGAGAAGGGTGGGAGTGTGGAAATCCAAGCCACTGTGTCAGAGGGCAAGACCAGGTGAAAGGACACATCATATTCAAACCACATCAGCCTCTGACAGCAGTGGCGTAGAGGGAGTCTAACGCAGACCTGGAAACAGCATTTCTTCCTGTGCGCTGCAACAGGGAGTGAACGTGGACCTGCCCACCAGGCTATGTAATCTCCACATCTCCTGATACTGGCCATATGAAGTGACCATCCGACAGTGGTAACAGTGCCAGGTAGCCCATAACAAATAGGAAAGAAAGAACCAGTATGTGGCAATTGGAAACTTTCAGCACTTTTTGCTTTCAGTACTTTTCTTTAACACTAGATTTTGAACTATCACCTTTCACAAGATGTAACCGGCTTGCAGTCCTTTATTCCTCCCCTTTTAATGAGCTCGATGACTGCTTAGAAGATTTTGCACATTGCAAGACAAATCAAACAAATGAACAGAAGAGTCATTCCAAAATATTCAAATCTTGATGATCTCCAAAGAATGCCCCAAAATATTACCATCCCCAAAGTATACCCCAAAATATTATCATCCCATTAACAGGTGCATAAAGCAAATGAAGGTGTAATAGTCATTGCATACCAAGATCTCAAACACCCTCAGAGAAACAGATCAGTTCTTCAGGCTGCATCACACAAGTCCTGAAGGCATCTCAAACCAGGGTTTTTTTAACATTACTGGTAGGTTGAGAATATTTATTTATAGGAAAAATTGTCACCCTATTACTCTGCCCAGAAACTCATCATTAAGGCACAATTCTTTCACTCTGAATAAGCTGTGAAATTTGCTTGGAAATTATGATTTTCTTTAATAGCCATTCTGAGATGAACGCTAGATGAATGCTTGTCTCTGTTATTAAATTATGATCATGCCAGTGAAGGATCCCAGGTAAGAAATGAGAAACTAATGTCCTAGCACAGCAAGCAGCTGTTTTTAGAATCTAGTTGCTGTTCTAAGTCTCAAATTGTTGAAGGTGACGATTTCATGTGTGAGCCTGTCATCAAGAAAACATGATGAATGTACAGTTTTGTAAGTAATAAGCACCTTTTATCACACTTTCAAAGCATCATTAGAGTCTCTATGTGATTACTGAGGCAGAAATCAGGTCAGGGAGAAGCTGATTTGCAGTTAGAAGTTACAGTACTGTCACTGAAAAATTTCTGCAAATCACAAAAGAAATAGATTAATTTCCCACATGAAGCTAATTGTAAAGAATCTGCAAGAGCAAGGGCAGTGCCAAGGAAGTTTTGCAGGGCTGTGACTCCTATGGAGTTTTATGCATAAAATGTCTAATGAATGTAGTGTCATTCCTTCTTGCATCTCTCTGAAAAACTGTCCTACAGATTCCCACTCCAATGCCTTTGGCTGAGAAGTGCATGGGATATTTCAAATGCTAGCAACTTCAAAATATTCATCACAGTCTCTGAAGTTGGAAAGTTATCAGTCCCCCTTTGTTTTGCCTGCTAATGCACTTGCATCTGATGCTTCAACCCCAACCCAAGCAAGAAGACATGATCAGAGGAGGAGACAGGTGCCAGTGGTGACACTTGCTCATCTCAAATGTCTAAATATCAGCCCTGACCTGGGACTTGTAAAAACTGCCCTATGTGGCAGGTGAATAGGGAGAGACTAAATGCCATCCTATATACTGCAGCTGCATTCATGTGGAACCTCTGCTGTTGGTGTAAAATTTCTTCCTTTCCTTCATTTGCTTGCTGAGCTTCCATCCATAATGATTTTTCTCCTTAGGACTTCATAAGATACTTAAAATATCATGGGTTAGAACAGTTGTAAATCCAGATCTTGTCAGATAGTAAAAGAGAAGAGAAAAACTGAAATAAGGCGCTTCAGCTAAATATCAATTCTTTTGAGGTAACTTTGGAGGTTACAGACAGAGGCCTTAACCCTGCAGCTGTGTTGAGGAAGGACTGCAGGACAGTCTGTATCCCACAAGGTAAAACGCACTTTAGAGAGTCCCACAGGAAGAGATCATAAGCTACTTCTGCCATAAACCTTGATAATCTCTTTCAGATTCTATTGAAATTAGCAGACAAATCCCTGTTGACTTAGATGAGCGGTGAACAACTCTCTTCGGTGTTCAGGAATGACTTAGGCAATACTGTTCAATGTAGACCTCAAAAACAGGAGTCAATTTCATCCTTAGCAATTTGAAACCATTTTTAAATATTGTGTTCAGCCAGGCTCAGTTTTTTCTTCAGTGACACAGCTAGATCCTAAGCTTTACCCATTTGTAAATTTTAAATGGAGGGCTGCTGCACATGTCTACCTACATGAATTACCATCTCACTGGAAAAGTCCATTCCAGGAATGAGTTCATGAGGGATAGACATAAACCCAGCACTATGAGAGGGGACTGAATTCCCACTATCCATACGTGAGGGAATGCCTTGCAGGGAAGGGGTTTGCTGCATTTGTGCCACCAGCACATGCACACAGCCACGGTGCATCACCAAAGCTTCCTCCCCAGTGGGGAGTGAGCTGCTGGCACTGCCACTGTACAGGAGAGAGGAGCTGGGAAACTAGAACTAACTGTCCACCGATGGATCATCGCATGGTTAATCCCGTGGAACATTTACAAGAAAATACGATCACATGTATTTGTTCAAGCCACATACCTATTTTTCAGACTTCAAGGAATACGAAAGCAGTTATTTTTTCAGACAACAGTATTTCGCATATTGCTATTTCTACTTTTACCAGTGAACAATGAGAAGTGCAGGATTTAGTCATTAAAGACAATAAAGTCGCTCTGCTATGAATGCTGTATTTCTGAATAGCTTTGGGGCACACTGCACTTCCCAGGAGTGCTCCAGAAGGCATTCCTAGTTTCTAAAGATGCAAATGAGCTGATTGTGAAAGAAGTGTACATAATATAGTTTAATAGTGAACCTGTTGGTTTTAATAATGTACATATTTACAACATGTAAGTGCAAAGTTGTTTCACAGTCTATTATGTTTATGTAGATGTACAAAATGGAAATGCTTTGCCATTATAGTGGTTGTTTTCTTTCTTCACTAATGATATTTTCTTGCTCTGTTCAGTAGAATGCTCTCAAAAGTCAAATTCAGGATCTGGGGCTTAGGATCTCAGTTTGAGCTTCAGGTGGTGGAAACATTGTGTGGTGATGTCAGTCTTTATGGCAGCTTTGGTTTCAGTGGAGGGATGTGATTTGCAGCCACTAAAAATTTGGTCTAACATACATACTGAGTTTAGGATTGGCATAACCCTTGGGCTTTCCAGGAAAGTCTGTGTTTTAGAGGTACTTACAAAATATTTTCTGATGGAAAATGCTATTTTCCCTCATCTCAAGGTAGCTTGAAATGTTGTCATTGCATACATAAGGTAAATTTCACTTCTCTGCTTTATAAACAGTACCATACACTAGTGACAGTAATATTGGGAATGCTGATATGACCTCAATAATTACAATGTCTTGGCAGTAGGGTGTTTTGTCTCTAATACATTTCACAGGAACAGCGTAATTAATGTATCAGTGTATCAAAAAGTAGCAAAGGAACTGACACTTGAATCAGTGGGTTCAAGATGTACTTTAAGAGGAAACCAACATTACATTAATCACCTCTGCAGTATCTGTTTCCTCTCAAACACCACACCAAACACACGAAAACCCAGTTTAGTGAAACATTTGCTCTGGCAGAAGTGTTTGTGTGGTTGTGAGCAACAAAATCTACCAGGAAGATGCTGGTTATTATTCTTTACTAGGTACAGAAATGCAGCACAAATTAAAAGACTTGTTGTGGCATAGGATGCCAAAAGTAAGACTTGGGGTTTTTTTATTTACTTAATAAATATGTTTTAGCTGAAATAAAACAGCAACAAAGGTAGAACAGACAATTTTCTCTGTATTAAAATCCTTAGCAATAACGCTACCTTAATTAAATGTCTGCCAGTATAGCCGTTACAAAGTGCTCATGTGTTTATAATGTAGCAAAATAACTTTGGTTTGGGATAAAACCAACCATGCAAATGTGGTGAATTTCTGTCCTCTTTTCCCAAATCCTCCTCCGTCCTTTGCCAACCTTAATAGACAAAATCTGAGCCATTTTTCAAAGCTGCAAATCCTAAACACTAACAATGGGAAAGTATCTGCATTTCCAGTGCTTGGAATTTTAAAAGTCAGATGTGTCTTCATGAAGCTAAATATGCATAGTTATTTGATTACTGCTCAAAAATAGGAGCATTTGTAACCTAAAAGTCATTTGCATTGAAACAGTAGTTGATCCCAAGCCAATGAGACTCTGCAGTGTGTGAGCATGCCCTCTCTGCCCTCTGGCAGCATAGAAGACCTGTGCCCAACCCTGTGAAATGTGGACCCAGTGCTAGCTGCATGGGAAAAACGACCAACAACAAAAAAAGAGACTTTGCAGCTAATGGTAGTGGCAAACTGGGAATTTTGAGTTCCTGGGTCAGCTGGGTCGTTGCAATGTACTACTGTACTTGCTCCACGAACACCTGCTTCAGAGGGACTTGGCAAGATGAAAGCATGAGTCCTACACAGAAAATGTCATTGGCCAGCAGTGAGGGAAAGTCAGACCTCCAGCTGGAAATACCACCTTGGGAGGAAGAACATGATCAGCTCCTTAGTCAACTGTCTAGTGAAATTTAAGTACCTGGCCATCCCTGACATTTAGGATGGTGCCAGAGTTATGCTGCTTTGACACCTGTAGTTCCGTGGCAGCTGTAGTAATTAAGGAACCTATAAGGTTTAAGTTCAAAGTATCCTTTTCATGACCTGCAGATGTTTCTGTGCAGCACAGAATTTTGCAGGTACTTCCAGATGAATCGCAACTCTGTATTTAAGCACCCCTTTGAGTACTCAGGGCATCATCGAGAAAATAAAAGAAAGTATTTCTCAGCTGCTCAAGTG